AGATGAGGGAGAGGAACTGTACTGAATTATGGAACTCTTCTTGGCCTCCTCAAAACTCCTTTTTTTTTTTTTTTTTTTTTTTGGGACAGAGTTTCGCTCTTGTTACCCAGGCTGGAGTGCAATGGCACGATCTCGGCTCACCGCAACCTCTGCCTCCTGGGCTCAGGCAATTCTCCTGCCTCAGCCTCCTGAGCAGCTGAGATTACAGGCACGTGCCACCATGCCCAGCTGATATTTTGTATTTTTAGTAGAGACGGGGTTTCACCATTTTGACCAGGATGGTCTCGATCTCTTGACCTCGTGATCCACCCGCCTCAGCCTCCCAAAGTACTGGGATTACAGGTTTGAGCCACCACGCCCGGCATGCCTCAAAACTCTTGAGGCTCCCATTGCCTACATACAGCCTAAGCTCTTTCACCTGGCAGAATGAATAATAATGATACTAATTACCATATATTGAGGGCCTACAATACAGCAAGCACTACACTAGGAGCTTTACAAGCACTGTCTAATTTAATTATAATATAAATAACATGAGGTATGTTTCATTATTTCCATTCTAGAGAAGAAACAAATTGGTGGTTGGTGGTTAAATAAATATGCCCAAAGTCCCACAGCTAGAAACTAGCAGGGCGGGAATTTGAACCTGGTCTAATAAAACTTCAAATCGGGTACACTTTCTACCATATCCTGAGGCTTCTTTACTTTGTGGCCTCGGTTAGCCATTGCAACCTACTTTTTTTTTTTTTTTTTTTTTGAGACGGCGTCTTGCTCTGTCACCCAGACTAGAGTGCCATGGCATGATTCGGCTCACTGCAACCTCCGCCTCCCGGGTTCAAGCGATTCTCCTGCCTCAGCCTTCTGAGTAGCTGGGATTACAGGTGTGTGCTATGTCCAGCTAATTTTTGTATTTTTAGTAGAGACAGGGTTTCACCATGTTAATCAGGCTGGTCTTGAACTCCTGACCTCGTGATCCACCTGCCTCTGCCTCCCAAGGTGCTGGGATTACAGGCGTGAGCCATCGCGCCCAGCCTACAGCCTACTTTTCAGCATCCTTCATGCCAGTCAAATGAAACTACTGGAAATGCTCCACATTCTTCTTTCTCCCATGTTTTTGTTCATTCAGTTACCTCCTCCTAAAAACTTTTTTTTTTTTGAGACAGGGGTTTTCCACATTGGCCACGCTGGTGTTGGACACCTCACTTCAGATGATCCACCCCCCTCCGCCGCCTCCCACAGTGCTGGGATTACAGGTGTGAGCCACTGCGCCTGGCCCTCATGGTTTACTTTTAAGTGTCAATCTTTCCCTTCTAGACTGTGAGTCTTGCTTTTTTTTTTTTCTGAGATGGAGTCTTGCTCTGTCACCCAGACTGGAGTGCAATGGCACGATCTTGACTCACTGCAACCTCTGCCTCCCTGGTTCAAGTGATTCTCTTACTTCAGCCTACTGAGTAGCTGGAATTACAGGCACTCACCACCACACCCAGCTTATTTTTGTATTTTCAGTAGAGATGGGGTTTCACCATGTTGGCCAGGCTAGTCTAGAACTCCTGACCTCAGGCGATCCACCCGCCTCGGCCTCCCAAAGTGCTGGGTTTACAGGTGTGAGCCACCCCACCTGGCCATACTATGAGTCTTATTATTGACGAATCTATGCAGGGCCTAACACATAACAGGTGAGCAAGAAACCAGGGCAGGGGAGCCTGGAAAAAGCCAGGAGAGAAGCCTGGGAAAGGAAAGAACGAGGTTGGGCTGAGCTGGTAGTGAGGTGAGGAGATAGCAGGGGGTGCCCACCCCATTCCCCCAGCCCCTCACCCACTCCAGCACTCTGCTCACATCCAGGAAGCCAGAGAGCTCCGTCTGCAGCAGCTCTTTCAGCTCTTTCTTGCTCAGCTTGTACTTGTCCCCCTCTTTGCCCGAGTGGGCGTGGAACACGTTGATGAGGGTCTCCATCGCCGTCTCCAGCTCAGAGCCCATTGCGGCAGTGCACCTACCCAACCCCATCATGGAAATGAGCTGAGGACCAGGCCTCAGGTACCTGGGGTCTAGGTGAGGGGAGCCCTCAGGCCTGGCCCTGGGTGACAGCTCAAATACCTGCGGGATTACAGCCCTCCTGCAATTGATCTTTCCCTGAGATTTTACAATGTGAGGGAAACCCCAGCAGACCTAAATGCAGACCTGTTCTCCCTGTCCCTCAGTCTGTACCCCAGCCAGAGGGAAACAGGGTTGGGGCATGGAGAGAGCAGTTGGAGCTGGGCTGGCTCCAGAGGCTTGCGGTAGATGCCTGCGGTGGCTGCCCAGGCAGGGATTGAGGAGGGTGGGGCAGGAAGGGGTGGTCACAGGACTGGGCCATGCTTTCTCTGGCTCTATTTTTACCTTGGACCTTGCCTGCCTAGCATAGCTAAGCCCTGCTGTTGAGGGTGGTGGGCTGGGGTGTCCACTACAGCCTTGCCTCTGCTGCCCACCCCTAACAAAGGAGTCAGTCTGATACCCCCCGTCAGCCTGGTAGAGGGGGTGACAGCCCCAGTGGGTGGCCTAAGGCTTCTGGGGGAGGGAGGTCTCACTGACTCTGAGCTTCCTTTTAGCAGCTGGGGGCCCCTTTTGGTCCTTCAACTCTGTTATCTCCTGAACATGTCATTTTGACTTCTCTGAGGTATGCTCCCATAACCTCTGCAAAACTATCCTTTTCATCTAGTGGGTGGCAGGATGGGAGAGAGTTCTGTCTGAGCCTTTTCCCTGGAGCCAGGGTTCCCAGGGATGGGGAGAGGAGACCTGCAGGCATTGTCCCTGTGATTGCCCACTCCTGGTTGATTCAGGGACACTGAGAGCAGGGGGAGTGGGGCTGGTATGTGATGGGGGAGATAAAGGGCTGAGAGCATGCGGTGCTTTGAGTTCAAGGGGCCAGGAGAGAGTAGAAGAAAGGAGGGGTCTGTTGAGAGAGGAGACTGCCAAACCAGGGGGCCTCTTTCCCTTGGCCCTGGGACAGTCTGGCCCCCCACAGCCCCATGGGGGCAGCTCAGATGTCTGGGATCAGATGTCCCCATCCTTCCCCAGGCCTAGGGGGCTAGACAATGGGCCCTGATCGAATGACATCCCAGTTTTTCAATGGGGCCCTTGTGAGTGTCATCTGAGCTCCGGACCTGAGAAGTGGTTGTCACAGAGACATGAGGGAGATGGAACCCAAGCCATAGCTGATGAGGGGATAAAGGGTGCTCGAGGGAGGGATGCTGGAGGCTTGATTACCCGCTGCATGCCAGAGGGGCAGCTGGAGGTCACGTGGAGCCCTAGAGCAGCCTGGGATTTTATGTGGGGCCAGTTCTGAGAGGACTTGGGGGCAGGGCAGATGGGAAAACAAAGAGGAAAGAATTGGGGGAAAGGGGAGTCAAGACCTCTGGGCCAAAAAGGGGAGGAGGAGAAAGGGGAGGTCCTGCGGAGGCAGTGTGGGAAGGGGCACAGCACCCTACATCCCCCCTTCCCCGTATCATGGGTGGCTCGCCCTGCCACCCCCAGACTCCTCAGGGACCTGAGCTCTTGGCAAGGCAGGGTGGGGGTGGCAGACACTAAGGCTGGCAGAGGGCAGAGGGGTGGGCGCAGAAACAGCTGTTGTATCTGCTCTCTTCTCACCCCACAGGAGGCGAGGTAGGGGAGTGCGGGGGCCCTCCCCAACACCTGGGAGACAGAAGGGGGCTTGGCAGGGACTTGAGGGCTCCCTGGGGAGGGCCAGGTGGCCAGGAAGCTCAGGGTGGGTTCCCCACTGGCTTCCTCCTTTGTTGAGCTGCCAGCTCTCTCTCTGACCTTTGGTTCATTTGCCTCTCCTTACCACCTTCCAGACTCTGTCTCCCCCAAATCCCAAACTGCCCTCACCCTGACTGACTCCTGCCAGATCCTCAGTGCTCCACAGCGCTATGGTCCCCAGCTCTTCAGAGCCCTTCTGAAGACCCCTCTCCCCAAAGCTGGCAGGCCAGGGACCAGCCCAGTGGGGCAGGGTACTCACGGTCGGCCTGGGCCTGAGGTGGGAGCAGGTTCTGGACAGACGGCCGAGGCTGCAAATGTGGCTGTTGGAGCTGTGTGTGGAGACCTGTCTTCGGCCGTCCCTCCCCCGCTGACCCCCCCACCGACTCCACCCCTTCATAGGCGGACACCCTGTGGGGCAAGGGGCCAGGAGCTGACAGAGGCGCCCTCTGTCTCCTGGGCTGGAACAGGCGGCCCTTGTCTCTTTCCAGCCTTGCCTGGCCCGTTCCTTTCTCCCTGGGCAGCAGTGGATGGTGCAGGGGAAGAGGTGGGAAGGAGATCCTGGGAAGGAACTGGACATCTCATCCCAAGCTGGGCCCTGCAGCACCTGTGGCTGGCTGTGCTGGATGAGCTGGGGAAGGGCGGAATTCTGCTGAGGGGCTCTTAGTCTGCGGCTCCTCCATGCAACCTCACTGAGAGGACCCTCAATGAGTAACTTAGTCTTGGGAGCCTGAGACCGCACAGAGGGATTTCAATCCCAGACTCTTCAATGGAGGTCTCAACTTGGATCCCTCTCTGTGGGTGGGGCCTCAGCCTGGGGTTCTCTGAGGGATCTTGGTCTGTAGCATCCTTTGTGGGTCTCATTTTTTTTTTTTTTTTTTTTTTGAGACTGAGCCTTACTCTGTCACACAGGCTGGAGTGCAATGGCGCAATCTAGGCTCGCTGCAACCTCTGCCTCCTGGGTTCCAGTGGTTCTCCTGCCTCAACCTCCTGAGTAGCTGACATTACAGGCGTGCACCACCACACCCAGCTAATTTTTGTATTTTTAGTAGAGAAAGGGTTTCATCATGTTGGTCAGGCTGGTCCGGAACTCCTGACTTCAGATGATATGCCCGCCTCGGCCTCATAAAGTGCTGGGGTTACAGGCGTGAGCCACTGCGCCCCGTCTGTGGGGTCTCATTTTAAGGGGCCAACATGTGTATCTCAGATTGGGCCTCCAAATGTTGAGGTCCCTCAATTGGTTGCCTCCCCCTTCCGCCGCTCAGCATACATACTCCCTATTAGATGTGGGGTGTGGTGGCAGCAGCCCCGAATATTGAGAGGAGTAGGACTCTGGGACCCCTGCTGAACATTTGTCCAGGCAGCTCCTCTCCCTGACCAAGTGGGGGCGCTCGTGTGGCTGGCAGGGAGCCCAGGTCCAGGCCTGAGGGTTCAGGACGAGAGGCGTGATTGGGCGGTCTCTGCTCTTCAGGATCCACCACGGAAATTTGACACCTCCGGGCTTGGAAGCTGCTCTCTCCTCTTTCCCCCGCTGCTTATAAACCTCAGCCCTGAGGCTCCAGCTCGCTGCACCCCATCTCTTTGCCCGGTGAGTCTCTTGAGGGACCCTGGAGGGAGCCTGGAGATCATTTTTAATTCCTGGGCTCCCAGGTCCCTCCCCCAGGGCCAGCTCAGGCAGGAATTCAGGAAGCAGCTTCGGGTGATCGAACAACAGTGCGTGCAGGAGTGCGTGGCGGGGTGGACGGGTGGACGGAAATGAGAGTGCCTCCCTCCTGCTCCACCCACTGCACCCCGGGGGCTGTAAGTGCCTGTACTAAACCCGTCCTGGGGCAGGGAGTCAGAGGCGCCCCATTCCAGGACCCTTGTCCCCGGGAGACAGGAGCGGTGAGGACCTGTGGGGTCCTGGGCTCAGCACTCTGCCCTGCTGCCCCTGAGGAGAGGTGAGGGTGGAGCAGGGCAGAGAAAATGCCAGCTCTGACCGCAGCGGGACGTTTGCCAGACCCTGTGCTTCTCTGCTGGGAAGAGCAGCGCTGAGTGTGTGTGGGTGGATGCGGGCTCAGGAGACCAGGGCCCAACATAAACAAGTTTTGGAGACAAACAACCACATGACGGTTGTTTGGGTGAGACAAGAAGGGACTCTTGAGACAGACGCCCCACAGAGGAGCCAACAGACTCAAAGGACTCCAAGAAGGACGCTCAGACTGAAAACCTCTCAGGTAAGGGGGGTCTCCAGACCAAGGGATCACCACAGAGGGGTCCCTAAGCCGCAGACACCTAAAAAGGACCCCAGACTGTGAGACCCACAGAAAAGGGGGTTTCTACCGAACCTCCTGCCCCCACCTAAACTGAGATGCTGTTGCCTGATCTGCTGCTTCAAGCTCAACCCCTGTTCTCTCCCACTTTCCCCATAATGCCCCCTCCAGGCTGAGACCTGAGGTGGTAACACCAAGGCAGTGGCCTTCTGAACCATTCCCGCATCTAGGCCTCCCTGACTCTCCCCCTCTGCTCCTTCTCTGTTCCACAGCCCTGACAAAGGTCAGCCAGCCCCTGAGGACATCAGCTTCGGCCTTAGGGTCCTAATGGCAGCAGAACCACTGACAGAGCTGGAGCTGGCCATTGAGACCGTGGTCACCACCTTCTTCACCTTTGCGAAGCAGGAGGGCCAGAAGGGCAGCCTCAACACCGCTGAGTTTAAGGAGCTGGTTACCCAGCAGTTGCCCCATCTGCTCAAGGTAGGCAGAGGTCTGGGACTGAGATTTTGTGAGACCATGATTATGGGACACTGTGTTGAGCAGGTGATAGTGCTGAGTACGATGATGTGACCACAAGAAAGGGTGTGGGTGGTTGCATGTGTAAATGGTTGCAGGTTTTCTTTTTTTTTTTTGAGACAGTCTCACTCTGTCGCCCAGGCAGAAGTGCAGTGGTGCGATCTTGGCTCCCTGCAATCTCTGCCTCTGGGGCTCAAGCGATTCTCCTGCCTCAGCTTCCTGAGTAGCTGGGATTACAGGTGTGTGCCACCACACCCAATTTTTGTATTCTTAGTAGAGACAGGTTTTTACCATGTTGGCCAGGCTGGTCTCAAACTCCTGACCTCAAATGATCCACCTGCCTCGGCCTCCCAAAGTGCTGGGATTACAGGCACGAGCCACTGTGTCTGACCTGGTTGTGGGTTTTCTTGCCTGGTGTGTATGTGTGTGTGTTTGCGGGTGCGTGCATGTAATTAGATAAGCAAAGATACTGTGTGTCAGTGGGAGTATGTGCTTGTATCAGATGATGCTGTTGGGTTCTCGTGTATACTCTGTGCCTTTCTGGTTTAATTTCCCCAAGACAGGACTGGACCCAGAGCTGGCTTCCAGGAGATTCACAGACCATCACAGCTAGAAGGAGGCCAAGAGAAAACACAGTCCACATTTCTCACTTCACATATATGGCCCCTGTGCAAGGATGACACACAAATTTGTGAAGCGTTCCATATTAGAAAAAAAAGAAAGAAAGAAAATATAGCCAAATTGATGGAGTCATAGACCTCAGTGTAGGGGTCTATAGGATGCATCTGTGAGGACTCCCCACCTGCTATGGGCATCCCCTCAATAGGGTGTCTGACAGGGTCATTCCTTCTCTGCCACTTACAGGCCGGAGTCAGCACTTAAATTTTATCCACTCTGGGTTGGAAGAGGCCTGGTCATTTTCCAGGCTGTTGGCAGTTTCTTTTCTTTTTTTTTTTTTTTTAGACGGAGTCTCGCTCTGTTGCCCAGGCTGGAGTGCAGTGGCGCGATCTCGGCTCACTGCGACCTCCACCTCCCGGGTTCAAGCAGTTCTCCTACCTCAGCCTCCTGAGTAGCTGGGACTACAGGTGCGCGCCACCACGCCTGGCTAATTTTTTGTATTTTAGTAGAGACGGGGTTTCAGCGTGTTGCCCAAACTGGTCTCGAACTCCTGAGCTCAGGCAATCTGCCTACCTCAGCCTCTAGGTGAAGTGCTAGGATTACAGGCATGAGCCACCATGACTGGCTTCTTTTTTTTTTATTTGAGTCAGAGTTTTGCTCTTGTTGCCCAGGCTGGAGTGCAATGGTGCAATCTTGGCTCACCGCAACCTTCGCCTCCTGGGTCCAAGCAATTCTCCTGCCTCAACCTCCTGAGTAGCTGGGATTACAGGCATGCACCACCACACCCGGCTAATTTTATAATTTTAGTAGAGACGGAGTTTCTCCATGTTGGTGAGGATGGTCTCAAACTCCCAACCTCAGGTGATCCTCCTGTCTCGCCCTCTCAAAGTGCAGGGATTACAGGCATGAGCCACCATGCCTGGTCGACAGTTTCTTTTTCATCCTTTCTGAAAATCCACAGTTACATTAAAGTGTGTGAATATGGACTCCTTGAACACGATGAGTCTCTGAAACTCATGGTCTTTCACACGTAAAATCCCTGCAATTTCTGACTTCTCAGACTTTTTTTTTGAGACAGGGTGTCTCACTCTGTTGCCCAGGCTAGGGTGCAATCACAGCTCACTGCATCCTTGACCTTCTGGTCTCAGGCAATCCTCTTGCCCCAGCGTCGCAAGTAGCTGGGTCCACAGGCACATGCCATGCTGCCAGGCTAAGTTTTTTCTTTTTTTTGAGACGGAATCTCATTTTGTCACCTACGCTGGAGTGCAATGGCGCAGTCTTGGCTCATTGCAACCTCCACCTCCCAGGTTCAAGCGGTTCTCCTGCCTCAGCCTCATGAGTAGCTGGGATTGCAGGTGACTGCCACCAAGCCCAGCTAATTTTTATATTTTTAGTAGAGATGGGGTTTCACTGTGTTGGCCAGGCTGGTTTTGAACTCCTGACCTCAGATGAT